CTTTTTCCCCACTTCTCATCTTTGTCCATTTTTTCTCTTGTAGACCTTTTCAAGAAACTATTCCAGTAGTTTCTGTCCTTTTTATATATATAAAGCATATATATATATATGCTGAATATTTGTGCTTCTACCTGTTGTTCAAGACACCCGGCCCTGACGAGAGCTCCTGGATTGACAGTGATGCTGTTTATTGGTTCCAGATATGTAACATCCCATGAGTCCCTGGTGCTAGTTTGAACAAAATAGTTATATCTGTTCTGTAGATCTGAGGGAGGGAATATAAAAATATGTAATTGCATCGCACTGCTGTGGAGGCCATGAATGAACTCTTTCTTTTCAGAAAGACTTAGGTGGCTAGAGCAAACTGTTTCTGGTACCATACATCTTTCTTTAAAATGCCAACTAGGATCTTTGTTACCTTTTTCTCTGGCATCATTAAAGTCTTTTAGAAGCAGTGGCAGGTGTGAGTATAATCAAGCAATTTAGCGTTTCACTTAAATATTTCTATCATAGGAAAATATTTTTTTCTAGTAGTACTAAATGAAAAGCTAAACTAAATCACAAGTTGCTACAGCTCATAAACAAAGCTTGTAAGGCTTCTGTGGTACAGATTGGAATATAAGCAGAAAAATCTAGGCCAATAAATAGATCAACTTTCTTGGTAGACTACACCAGAAAACTGCGTATTTAAATCTAGAGCAGTCTGGCTAGTGGAGATGAAAGCCTCTTACTCTGCTGTGCAGCATCTGATGTGAAGTGAGTTGATGTCAGTTTGCTTCTCTTCCTGGGCATCTACATCTAAAAAAATAAAATTACCTTTGAAGATACAGCAGAGACAAAGTACTGAACAACTCTTCTAGTCATAGCCATACTGCTGCGTGGCAGCCCATGTTGATTTTAAACTAAGTCCTTGGTTTTCCAAATATGATAATCCCTTTTCTCACTAGGAAAACTGCTGCAGTAACCTTATCTCTAATGCAAAGAATGATTGTTGCAGTTAAATGTCAAATTGCACAGCAAAATGCTAAGGGGCTGTGTTTGCTCTTTCACATTCCTACCTGGTATTCCATTTTTCCTACTTTCTATTCATAAGAAGTGACATAAAATGACATTCTTGAATTCAAAAAAAAAAAAAAACAGATCAAACTTTCAGAAAAGTCAGAAATTCAAAGGTATGAACAGTAAATACTATGTTCAATTGTGAAAGTGAATTCAAACAAAGACAATTTAATCCATGAAGTTATCAGGAATTTTACAGGGATTTCAATTTTGTTTCTGTGGAATATATGCATTAAAACATTTGTTAACTACTTAGCTTTGTGGCTTAGTAGAAGGAAACAAATTTTGACTTCATTTCATGCAGCTAGTTCCCAGATGCATAATGGTTTTGTGTTTCATTTTCTTAGATACTTCAATTTAGAAATGTAATTCCTCCTGAAGTTTTTAGTTCCTCGTTTGAACAAGGAGAAATTCTCTTCCAGTCAATTTTGTTATAACTGCAAACTCAGAATCATGCCTTAGAGTATGTCAGCAAGTTGCAAGCACGGAGCACTGTGAAGAATACTATATTGTTTTCCTCCTGTCATCCTTGCTTCACACTGAGTCACTATCTCTACCCAGCTGCAAGCTGCTTAAAACTGAAAGGCTGAACCGTTCACGAGGCACTCGGTGCTCTGAGACAGACAAGGCAAGGGGCAAGAGCCTTATTCTGCTGTGAGGTTTATAGCAATGCAGTTCCAATAGGCTTTAGTAAGGGTGTAAGTTAAGAATGAAGCCAGTATACTAAGATTTTGTAAAACACCCTTCGATCAGCTCTTGCTGTTCAACTTTTATTATTGTTTTATTTATGCATAGTAGAAGATGCAAGAATTAGGACTGTGGCGGGATGTTTTTTAATACACCAGCAGCTGTGATTTATGACACACTGCGTGCCTCCAGTTTGAGTTGTCACATGTTATGCAAGTAATTACCTGCAAAAACAAAATTCATTTTATTGTGAAGGGCACCCCTCCTTACATTTTTTGTGATAGGATGTGACATCAGTCGTGTGACACTGTTTAGGACATGTTTCAGTGTGCTGTTTCAGGATAGCTTTCTGTGGAGGTTGTTCGCTACTTGTTTTAATTCAAAATTCTTGCTTGGGTCTCCATCTTAACTTCAGAAAATGAAGGATCTGCTTGGCATGAGGAGCACTGTATCACCCACGCGTGTGCATCCCCAGAGGACGTGATGGCCAAGGAGCGCTCTGTACCTGCATCTCCTAAAGCAGTGCTGTGCAATCACGGGGTGTTGTTTCCCTCTCCTCCCAAGGCTGTGGGTCCACCCCCACGTGGGGACTAGTGCTGGGTTCCTGGTGGCTCCTGCTGTCCCCTGCCCTGGGAGCCCCTGGCCCGGTGTCGCCTTCGCCCCCTCCCTGAGCGGCGGAGGAAGCGGCATGAGAACCGCCGCTCCCGTTAGACACTAGGCCTCAACGCACATAAACCACTCTGTTTTCCCTTGACTACTGTAGCAAATGTTCTAGTTCTGTTAGGAAAACAAAAACAACCGTTTTATTGCTTTTTATATCTGCAAAGTGATGTATTGCGGGTTTTTGAACTGGAGGTTTGGTAGAGTGCAGACATTAACTTTCTTTCAAGCTACTTTATGCCTTTCTTGTTTGCTTTGTATAGCAAGGGTCTACAGAGATTTCTTTTATTTCCTTCCCCACCATTGTCTTCTGTACAAAGTTTTTTCCCTTAATATTCAGACATTTTATCGCCCCGCTTCTTTTTTTTTTTTTTTCCTTTTCTCCATTGCACAAAAGAATACTTTTAGCTGATTGAGTTCTATCCATTGCCAACTGCAGCTTCTTTTGTCTTGGTCGTCCAGCATCCTTTATAACCCGAGGAGCATTGAGCGAGTCCTCGGGGCTCCCCACCGAGCCCGATTGTGCACGCAAGGTGTGGTACTGTACCGCGGAAAGCCGACACTCGGAGGCCTTGAATGCCTTGCAATTTCTACCTTTGGCTGGTGAAAGAAGCGGGATTGTGCTGTGAGATAATAAATCCACCTATTTTTAGGTTTTGGTGCGGCTGTGACAAGCGGGCAGACAAAGAACCGGTTGAATGCGCTTGCTGTTGTGTCGAAACCAGCTCAAAGTTCCCATTCAAGGGGTCTCAGCGCAGTGCAGCTAACAGGCAATTTTCCATTTATGTACCCAAACGTTCCAGCAAGACAGCTGTGGGGCTGGATTAATTTCTAGCAGCAAATTGAATAAAAGATATTCTGGAGGGGGACTTGGAATTCCTTTCTAAAACATTGAAAGCAGAACTTTCAAAGCTTTCCTTTATTTGATCTGTCCTTTCCAGTGTCTCCTGTAAGATTTAAAGGACTGAAAATATTGTCCTCTATGCATGGAGGTACACAACAGGAAGTGCATTTTTTCAAAGCAGTCTGATGCAGTTAGGATTCAAATATTTAACACTATGCTTCCAAATATGCTTTTTAGCTTTTAAGTAAATACGAGATAAATTTGCACCTCTTAGTCATACAAAAGGACTCAACTCTGTGTTTGCATTATTTATAAGTGAGCTATAGTGACTTTTTGTAAGTGATAAATGTGCTTCAGAAACGGGATTTTTTTTCATATTGGAATTGGTGTTTCATAGGGGAGAGAAATTCCATGAAGTTTTTGTTTACTCAAGGTTATCAAGTTTCAAGCTATTCACATTGGAAATAGGATGTGGGTTTTAACCAAGGCTAGATAACAGTGTGTGGTGATTTTTTTCCTGATAAAACTATGGTCCAAAACTTTTCTTTTGAAAGTTCATCTTTAGATGCAGGTGTTGGAAGTTCCGTAAGATTAGCTCCTGAAGGATGTCTTGTTCATGTCTGTCCAAGCCAACTAGGTTATCCTTCAGATCATACTGGCCTTTACCCTATAAATTGCTGCTAATGACTTAGTGTATGTTATAAGGGAACTGCATCCATTAATTTCAACATAGGGGTAGAAGAGCTGTGCACAGCATGGCCATGGCAAATTGCAATTCTCTTCAATAGTGAAGAATCTGCACTGAAATGTTTTTGTTTTGTGCTGACTTCGAGAATCCTTTTGCAATGTCTCAAGTTTGGTGTGAGGCTGGTGTTGATGAACCATCCCCACTGGTACTGCTGCTGGCTCCTTGGCATATCTGTGCTGGGACTGATTATCAAAGTCCAACAGTTTTCACTTTTTTCAGTCTCTTTTCACCTCTGCCTGAGGTTGTTCTTGACTGAATAATCTTTGTGTGGATTTGATGTCGGCCTGTCTGAGGAACTGTACATTTGGAATAAGGGACTGTGAAGGTTATGACATTGCTATTTCATGTGGGTGCATCTACAGATGTAAAACATGCAGTGAAACATAGTGAAGAAGTGATAGATCAGGAGGAAAGCTGAAAACTGGTTTGGGAATGCGGGGGTTGGTTTTGTCCCCTCTGGATTTGCCTTAACAAGCAATTGCCACATGTAGGAGAGATGGGAGTCCTTACCGAGAGAAGCCTTGACCAAGTTTTCCAGGTTCGTCAGTGCTGCTCTTTGGAGCTTGAAGTTAGTTCTTGACAACAGAAACGAATTCTTTGCAACAAGTTCAGGGCAGTAGTTTGACCGAAGTGCTGATGTTGCCAAATGTTTTGCTGGAAAGCTCAGATTTCAAGTGTCTGATTTGATGTTTCTTATTTTGGTTTTAATCAACTAAATTTTAGACCTTTCTGCATAAATGGAGATCTCCAGCTAATCACCACTCACTAGAATACACATATGCAGAATATCTGCAAAAACAGATGGTGAAATAAGTAAATACCCCTCCTTCTTACTCTATTGTTTCTTCATGTCCCACACTGGTTCAAAGATTACTTTAAACATGCATGCTTCTTTAGTGCTGAGTACATACTGTCAATCTGTGCAAGAATTTAGGGAATTTATTCTGCTCCTCCTGCTTTGTCATGGCTAATATATAAACATCTCTCTCTTTTTAATTGCAGACTTTAAAAAATTCCAAAAGTCTTTGCTCCCTTGATTATGAAGACGATGACGATGACACACAAATGAAGACAATTGTGTCGTCCCCATGTGACTCAAATGATCTTATGAACATCATCACCCCTGGTTCCAGCCCGATGAAAGACCAGCTGGATGAAGGGAGGCACCATGGCTCATGCCAAGGTAGCTTCAAAGCAAGGGATTATAAGAAAGCAGCCGCAGTGTGTGAAAGCGATGAGGACACGAGTGATTGTGAGAGCACTGAGGAGGGCATCTTTCCTCTAGACTGTGGGGACTTGGACCTGGAGCAGATTGAAAACAACTGAGTCTTCAAAATTGTGTGCTAGAATCAGAGTTGTTCTAAATTAAAATGATAGAGGATTACCTTTGCCATGCATAATCCATGTCCCTGAATCTCTGTATTGCCTGTCTTGGGCTTGTGTTAGAAGAAATGTTTCAGGTGGGGGAAAAACGTGAACCATTGTTACCTGTTTAGTCTATTGATCAATATGTGGATGACAGCAACAACAACAAAAGTAGGAGGTTAAATGTTATTTTGAACATTAAGGAATAATTTTGATTAAAAATTTCCTAACAGATATTTTGCATTTTTATGGCTTTTACAGTTCTGGAGAAAAAGCATCTCTATTTTGAAATGAATTTTCAGAAGGGCATTCTATAAAACTGTCTACAGTGATTCTGGTGCGGGTATATGTTTCTTTTGTTAAAGAGCTTAATGTGAAAAGTGAATTGCATAATGAAATTGGTAATAAACCTTCAGATAGAACTCTTAGATATCTGGTTGACAACTGGTCCAAAATACTTAACTGCCATCTTTGACAGTGTCTGGTTGAAAAAACTTCGTAACATGTACAAATGTTCTTTTCATACATTCAGAACTCTTTGATCAAAATATGGTAGTGACCTTAAAGGTTAACATTTTCCATGATTTTACTACTTGAATTGTTTTCTAGCCTGAAGCGATGCTAATTTAGGTGGGATAAAACTGCAAAGAGCTGCCCACCTACTTGGTCATTATGTTTTCTGTGGTTCAAAAGAATGTACAAGAGCACTTGAACTTTTAGACAGGGACTTTGTAATGATCAATTCCCCAGGAGGTGATCCCTTCAGCAATACTAGAAGGAAACTAGTCCTTGAATTAAATAAAATGACATTTTGCTTTGCATTTGTGTCTGCTTATGAATGGTACTAATGCAGATGAACAGTCTGCAGCAGGTTCTGTAGCAGGTGTATGGGTAGTGTCGGGTGGAGGGCAAGGGCAGACTTCTGGTCATCTCGAAAGAAAAAGTGAAGTCAGGTTTGGGGAGCTGGAGAATAACTTGCCCTGGACCCGTAAGTGTGATTATATACACTGCTGTCATCTCAAATATATGATACATATTCATGGCAGACTTTTGCAGCACATACTTATTTTGTTAGTTCAGCTACAAGGTTGGGTTTTAAGTTGGGTAGAAGTGGGAAAGCTTAAATTATGGTATCACATTAGTAAGTCTGCTTAAATGTAACTAGCTTATGCCATTAAAATATATTAACATACTTCATTTTTATCTGCTAAAACGCAATTAAATTGAGAAAGGAGGATATTAAGACATAGAACAGAGGCTGGGGGAAGGTATGATGCAGATCTGGCCTTGTGATCTGGGTCAGCCTTTAATCGTAATAAGGGTTGGCCTTGAATTACTGAATGAACTCGCGTATCTTTATACAAAATTGGAGAGCCTGGGTAACTCTTACTAGGTAGCTACTTATTTTTCCAATTCATGCTGCACCTCAGCCCACTGGTGCGCTTGGTCATGTGTAGATACTGGTTTACCTGTGCAGTAAGGTGCAAGAGCACTCGAGAGGCTTGTTGGGTTCTTCATGTGTTAATGTATATTGTAGTGGGAGGAAGTGAAGCTGGAGGGGAAGATCATTTCTTTTTTTTTTTTTTTCCTTCCCCCCTAAAAGAGTAAATAAAGGAGCTGCTATGAGAGCAAGGACTTCAGCTCTTTCAGAAGCTGTTAATATTTGGTCTCATTATACAGATATCTTCTGTGTAGCAGAGAGTGTACAGGTGGTGAGATACAGATGCACAAAGTTATGTGGAATAATTGCATGCCACTGAGAATCACTTCCTGCACAGCGAAGATTTGATTAGGTTTCAAGAAGCAGCAAATGAAGTTCAGCTCATGAATGAGGTCCCACATGCACCTCATGGGCTGTGGGGTGATCAGTCATGGTGGGTAATGGAACTACCAACCTTCCTCCCTGCCTGCAGCTTCCAGTCGCAGAACAACAGTTCTCCTTGTGTGTTTGAAATCGAGCAGCAGAGGTAAGTAGAACTGAATCAGCTTTAATGCGGGGATGTAGCAAAGGGCAATAGTGCAACTGGGATCACTTCAAAGCTCATCTACGTATCTGAAAGCATTGCTGTTAACATGGTAATAGCATCGAACGGGAAAGCAATCAGTTCGGGGCTTCCTTCCCAAAAGTGATGAGATTGTGGAAAAAGTAAAAGAAGAAAAAGCTTCACAGAGCATGAATAAAGGTGAGATATGCTGTCAAGAAAAAAAAATTACCAGGTTCTGATTTTGTTAAAGACACAGTGTTAGAATGGAGGCAAGAATTCAAGTTCACATAACTTTTATTCCTCCTCTGAAATATGGTCTGGCTGTGGTCCTGAGAAACTGAGGTTTCCAGCCTCAAAGGCAAAGTCTCTAGCTCCCGTCTGTAGTGATATTTTGGTATTTTGGTATTTTTAATCAGTGCAAAGCTAGAAAACCCCCTAGTCTAGGAGGGGGTTTCCAAGTCGAGGTGTAGATGTATCTGCTTATAGTTAACACAAAATTCTAGTCTTTTCATAGTAGCCAGCTGGTAAAACTTGCTTTTCATGGTGGGAGGTTGAAGAAGGAGTGGTTTTAGATAAGAACAAGTTTCAGGAAAATACAAGGTTGTCTCAGCATCTTAATAGTGAGCAGCAAAATAAATAGTCAAGTTACTGTGTGGTAATGTGACAAATGAAGAAATCTGCTGAAAGAGATTACGCTTTATCTGCAGATCCTGATACAATCCTACATGAGGAGCAAAAGAAAAAAGTATTTGCTGGTCAAAACTTGTTGCACAGGGAACAGGCTTTGGTTTTGCATCGTGCATAAGACGCAAAAACCTGCCCCAAGAGATTTTAAGAGATAGTCTTGGTATCTATGCAGTCAGTTACAGGATGAAGTCCACAGAGGTTTAGGCAAATGTTGCTTCAAAAAGGGAAAATGCAGTTTTGGAGGTGGAATTGATGGGCAGTGCTAATCTGCAGCAGCTCTGGAATGGGAGAAGTTTCCTTCCATCTTGCATCCGGTGTGGAAGCAGGAGGTTACGCAGGAGTTACCCCAGCTCACTTGTGTTTCATTTTTATTAGCAACCTGGAAAACAAAGTAGCCTGTTAATCTTGTGGTCAGCCGGAAGCTGGACACATCAAGATAGGATAGCATTAAATTCAAAATAATCTGGGCAGTGTAGGAATGATGCAACAGGGAGGAGATGGTGGAAAGAGATGGGATCCTCTTCAGTGGGTGTTAAATGTAGGTAGCACTGAGCAACACATCTTCACCGGGCAGAGGAGCTCGCTATCATCCCTTCAGAAAAGGGATCTGAGAGTTAGTCCTGCTGTTAGAAGGAAGGCAAACTTTGGCCTAGACTTTATGAATGGGGTTATATTTGGGAAGCCAAAGAATAATCTGGTGTTTCATAGGAATACCAATGAGTACTTGAGATGTCACACTTAAGAATGCAGCGTCCAGTGGGGAAGCAGGGCTGACATCCTGAAAACATGGGAAATCATGTGGGGGCTCAGGAAGAATTTGAGTTTGAAATTACATGGTAGACTAGGCTTTACTTCCACCTAGAATGAGTGAAAGTTTTTTGTTGTTGTTTTCCTAAGACCTAATATAAAATGATAGGGAATGGCTGAACAGATGCATGGAGAGGTAGTAGCTCTTGTTAAGAGCATCTCTTTGTCAGGGATGATGCCTGCATTTGATGGTGCATTGAGTCAAGGAGAAGGGCTAGCTGGCTTCCCACAGTCCTTTCCAACCCTATTTTCCTATGGACCGCCCTTTTGTCCACATCTCCATTATTAAGGGACTGCATCTGCATTATTAATGATGATGTTGATGGACTGTCCTCAAAGAGCCAGGATCTGGGCCCTGCCACTGTGGCTGCCGCTTCTGGGATCTCTTGGTGGAGCCTGCTAGTTGTTTAATGGAAGAGAAACCCCCAAAACAAATACAAAAGCAGTTAGAAGAGCACTGCTACCATATGCTTAGCAGCCCATTCTGGTGTGTTTTCAGAGTGAGTTTTGACATGGGTTTTTTTGGACTTTGTATGTAATGAACGTTATCCAAGCTATTGCTCCCACCGCCATCTGGTCAGCATGGTAATCCCAGCAATGCTGAAAGCTGGTATTTACTAGGGAAAAAGGGAAAAAAGGAGGGTGCCTTCCCTCTCTGCAGCTTCTTGGAGCCATCCAGCAGCTCTGCTTGGATGTGCTTTTTGCAGGGCAGAATGACTTGGAGGTCTGTCCCTGGAAGGCATTTGAATCTGAGGAGTACTGCATGAACACTTGCTTTTTATTTTATACGTCCTTAAAAAAAATATGCCATAAGGTTAAGTGCTTCATGATCTCTTTGGACAAAGAAATGCAGTGTCCTGACTCAGGTTACCCTTGCCTGGCATGAATGAGGATGTGATTTAGAGAGGATTTTTAGTTACTCAACATTTTTGCCTCTCGCTTTCCAAGCTAAACTCCTCCTGGCAGGATGAGAATATTCCAGGACACTCAGGTAGGTGGTGGTGCCAAGTCACTGTCTTAGTTGCCCCCGTTTTGCCTTTTTGTCTCCCCTCTCCCTCCCTCGCTGCCGGCAGCTGCCGGAGCTGCGGCTCGGTGCCTGCAGCGACGAAGAGGCAGCGCGGATCCCGTCCGTGCGCCGGGCGCCGCAGCAAGCGACGCTCATCGGGATGCAGCGCTGCCCGTCGCTCCCGCCGCAGGCAGGCGTCCGCCAAAGCCCCTTCCCCGTGCGTCTCGGGCAGAAAGAAGGAGAAGACCTGGGCAGACAGGGACCGGGACTCGCAGCTTTTGCTCCCCCTGCAGCACCCGGCGAGCTGATCCTGCTGCACGTCCCTGCCTCATCCTTCGGATGGTTCCTTCCACGCAGGGAGCGCAGCGTCTTCCTGCAGCAGATGGAGCGCGAAGCCGCGTGAATGGGAAGCGTTGCATAACGCGGAAAAGCGCATCCGAGCGAGCTAAAATTAGAAAGGCACCCGCGCGTGCCTGAGCCGCCGGTTCTGAAGGACTCGGCAATTTCTGAGTCTCTCACAGATCGTTAAAATGCCAAGTGGTACATTATAACTCTGCCATTGAAAAAGAAAGATACATGAGCAAGGATTGATTTCTCCAGGTTTCGTCATCAGCGTCGTCAGGATCTTAGCTCCAAATCAGTCAATTACTGTGAGCTACAGCCTGCTCGCTTTGCTTTGCTTCCTGTAGGATAATACGGGTCCATCCAAGGGGAAATATCCCGGCAGCAGCAAGGGGCTGGGCTGCTGCATGCAAAATGTTCCTGAGTTGAGCTGCTCAGCTGAGATCTCAGGGAAGTGGGTACAAGGTGCTGCTTATTCCAGCCTCTAAAGCAAGGTCACATGTGGATGCAATTTCCCAGGAACCACATGTGCCTAATCCTGGCATTAGCTTTGTGACGATCCCGCCAGCTCTGCCTAAATTAAGTCATTAGAGACGCTGAGGCTTCTTAGTGAAATGACTGAGAAATCTTTATTCATTTATTTATTTATTTATTGGTCAAAAGAGCATTTTTCCTTATCTTTGAATGAAGAATGCTGAGATCTATATCTATATATCTTTATCTATTATGTATATATATTTATATACATATGCATATATGTATATGAATACCTTTCAATAGACAAAGTTCTAAGTCAGTGAAAACAGGTCTAAAACAGGGTCTTCTCCTGGAAGCTGTTGGTCAGGCTGATCTCAGAGCTCTTTTCTGCCATCTCAGAAAGGGTGATACCGTCTCATTTCTACAATTGGGTATCCACATATACCTAATACTGTCTGCGAATGTTCCAATTTCAAACATCAGTATATTGGCATCTGTCTAGAGAAAATGAAGAAAA